ACAGTGAAAACTTGGCTGGGCTGTTCCTGATCGTGAATGGAAGAGGAGATGTCAGAGGGATGTGAGTAGACATCGCAAGTCACTGCCACTAGCTTTGGGCCCAGAGGAGAGAACTCACCAGGGGTATGGTGGGATATCAGGGAGCAAACCTCACAAGATGGTAGGTTAGGGGCTGCTCATTCCAGGGTCTGCTTGTGGTTCATGATCACGGGTTTCTAGTCACACCTTGGAGGTCCCGTGCCTGGATACAGATGACAATGACTAATGATTTCAAACACAAGTCTTCCTTTTGCAAACTATCCTGAAACCCCCGAGGGGTTGTTAATAGCTCTTATGGGGAGACTGAGCAGGTCTTAAGCCTCCCTAGCTGTGAGAGGCCTCAATTTTCACATCTGCAAAATGGAAGTAGTACTACCAGTGCCCCACTTTTAGGATTGAGCTTAGTGACTGGTTCAATCATCCATCAGCACTATGACTCAATATTGTTATTTCTGTGACCAGAATCCTAGCAGGAACAGGAACAGGAGATTCCTGTAGAAAGAGTGCCCCAGAGGCCATTATTAATCTTTGATCCTGGTGCCTGGGTCTTCTTTCTCAGTCAGAGTCACAGGGCAGATCATCAGCTCCAAACAAGGTCTTGTATGAGGGGCCAGAGCTGAGACAGAGGTAGCCCAGGGTACCAATGGCTTGGCTAGCTGCTCAACCAACAAAGACTTACTTCAAAAGTTGCATCATCTTCAATAATCTGATTTCAAATCTGCTTCTTAGTCACTGGGTGATCGGGGCACCTTGTACCACGTCAGCTGAGGACCTAAACGAGAGACCTTGATTTCTGGCATGGCACACCACACACAGTAAGCACTTACCATGTGCCAACCCTTCCTGGATCTTTTCCTTCTCCTTCCTCTTCTACCCAGATGTCTCCTGCCTACTTCCTATCCTGGAGGGCCTCTGAGGATTCTCTTTGGACCACTCAGGCTTTGCCCTCAGCTCGCAAACACAATGTCTGATGACCTGAGGTGGTCTCTCAGGACTGACCATCTCACTAGGGAAAGAAAACCCATGAAAACATCTACAGACCATGGCTGACCAAGAGTTCCCCAGACCCCAAAGCAGAAATGGAAAGTAAGCAGGGGTTGCTTCTCAGGTGGGACAATTCTCCCTCTCGTCACTGACAGGGAGGAGAATCTGGGGCTGTTCCAGCCTTGAGCTGCTGTCTCATCCAGGGATGCATGTTTGGAGCCTGCAGGAATGTAAGACGCTACAGCCTCACAGACCATTGGCCATTCCCCAGGAGTTCTCCATGCTGATGGCTGTCTAGTCCCAAAGCCTCGTTCAAAGTGTGGGTACTCATTCGGTCATTCAGTAGATGCCTTTCTGGTGTCTGGTGTGGGCTGGACACCTGAGTGATGAGCATAAATGAGGGGACTAACATAGACATTCATCTTGCCCCAGTAGGATGTTGTAGCTAAACAGGATGAGTCAGGCAAGGACAACAACACAACAAAAATAACAAGCGTGCAAATGTGTAACTGTATAATTACAGGCAGGAATAGAAGCTACAAAGGAAACAGGCAGGGCGTGCAGGAGGACATAGCTGAAGTAGCATCTGCTGGTGCTTCCAAGGAAGGCTTTCGGGTAAGGTAGCACTTGGACATTTTGACGAGTCAGTGTTTAAGACCAGAGCTAAAGGATGAAAAGAGGAGGGAGGGCTGAGCAGGGGAGTAGGGTATGAGCATGCTCAGGGAAGGGAATGGGTGGAGTTCTGCAAGACTGAGAGGCAGGGCCAGATATAGGGAGGACAGAGGATGGGAGGTAGGAAGGGGAAGGACCACATGGTGCCTCGGAAGCCAGGGTGTTTTGTGTTTCTGGGTACATTCCATGTAAAATGCATGGTTACATTCATGTAAGGCCTCTTGCATGTTCATGTGTTTGAACACTTGGTACCAAAATGGCGGCAATACTTTGAGAGGCTGTAAAGGCTTTAGGAGGTGCAGCCTTTGCTGAGAGAAATACATCACCCAAGGGCCAGCCTTTAGGATTATAATTCTGCCCAACTCTTGCCCAGAGGTGCCTCTTCAGGGCTTGTCTGGTAAATACGGCTGATGTTGAGGTCCCTGGGCCAGATCTCAGTAGAATATCGTAAGAACACATGCTCTCATCCATCACAGGACAGGGGTCACCTGGGCTTCCCAGCTTGGACAATGACTTCAGATGAAATTCCAGGTTGTGCCTGTCAATGAAACCTGTGAACAGCATTTTCTATGAGCTACAGGGACCCTGGGGCACCATGGCTTTATAGAAAATGACCCCATTTTCCTCAGAGAAATCTAGAAATCAGTTTTGAATGCCCTCCAGGTTGGAACTGACTACCTTCCCCACAGGTTCTGTGATGCTCGTGCACGGTAATACAGTGGTAGGCGCTCAAACACATAGTAGGTTCCTAATAAATAGCAGCTTCCCACCTCCCCACCGCTTTTCTTTGTCCCTAGGAAAATAGATTTTCTTAGACGGGGAGAGAAAAGAAGCCCCCATGTAATTAGCATTATAGGCCCTTTTCAACTTGGTTTAGGCACACATTCAGTCAAATCTGGAAACACCCACTCAGCTCTAACACTGCCCTAATTATAAATCATGGCTTTTAATTCATTAGCCCAGAGTCCCCAAGGGCCCCCGCAAAGGTGTGTTCTACTGGGCTCATTCAAGGCCCTCTGTGTTTGGCAGACCTTCTTTGTCATCCTGGTGCTAGGGGACAGGCCTGACAGGTGTTTTACAGCTCAGCTGGGTCATATCAAGTTCTTATTGAAAATACTTAAATTTCAGAAAACACCCTTGTCTCACACTAGGGGCAAACCCACTGGAGGCAAGGCTAGTAAGACCGAACTCCGTAGGATAAAATGTATCTTTCTTTGACATTAGTTTGACTGGAGAGATTTAAATGTTTAAATGATTAAAGAAAAAGAAAACTATTATTTCTTTTCCGCATGAGGAAATTCTCCTTTAAGGATGGCTCCTTGGGTACACCTTCTTACCAGACTGGACTCTAAGGTCTAAGTTATACACTGAAGTTACCCGATGCTTAGCATGAAAAATTATTGCGGTATTTTTATTTAATGTATCTTCATAGTAGGAAAAAATAATTATCCCTGGACATCATCTGGTGTCTGTATGAATGTGTATGTTTTTGTGGGTACGCACATAAGTCTATGTGTGGTCCATGTGAGGTATCTTATCCTATCACTCTTCATCTTATTTTCTGAGACAGGGCATGCCTATCAACAAAGGCCTTGAATAGCATATTCTATAGGTTACAGGGACCCTGTGAGGCAGTGTGGGCCAACAATTTGCCTAGATTGTCTGGCTATTGAGCCTCGGTGATGCTCCTGTTTCTATTTCCTTGGCGCTGGGATTACAGGTGCACACTACTAGGCTCAGATTCTTAAAGATAAATATGGATGATGAGAGTTGAACCCAGGGCCCCTTGTCTGCTTGGCACTTTACTGGCTGAGCCATCTCCCGAAGCCCAAACGTTACAATTTAAATGTAGCTATCTAATGAACTTGAATGCTTCTACACCTTGTCTAGCCTTGTCCTTTTAAATGCGTTTATTTTATTTAAATATTTAAATTTCATAAGCCCAGTCTCTTCATTTAATAACGAGGCCCCAAAGACAGTTTTACTAATGAGACTTGGATCAGAACTTTCCTGACGGTCGCTAGAGAAACAGCAACACTGTGGAAGCTCAGCAGATGAAGTTCTTCCATCCCCGATTCCTTGGAGGAAGGCTCTGGTGTCTCCCTCCAAGTGACCAGGACCTCAGAAGTAAGATGCTCAGTGACAGTCACTCTCCCTCGTCCACTCCCAATGAACCGCGTGATCAAAATCACCAAGGGTTTTGTTTGGAGCTTCAGTCCTGCCACTGCCTGTTTTATCTGAAATTTAGACTGCTCTCCTCCTGTGTCCAGAGTGAGAATGTGAGGATCAGGTTTGGGTCCTGGCTCAGTAGTGAAACTGGTCAGCTCCATTTGCTTCTCTGTAGCCTGGTCCAGAAGCAAGCAGAGTAGAGCAAAGCACAACCGAGAGACAGAGGGAGGAAGAAGGGGAGGGGGAGACAGAGATAGATGGGAAGATAGGTAGATGGATGGACAGACAGACAGACAGACAGAAAGATAAATGAGAGAGAGAAAGAAGGGGAGGAGGAGACACAGATAGGAAGATAGGTAGATAGATGATAGATAGATGGATAGATAGGAGAGAGACAGAGAGGGAAGAAGGGGAGGGGGAGACAGAGATAGATAGATAGATAGATAGATAGATAGATAGATAGACAGATGTTAGAGAAATAGATGAGAGAGAGACAGACAGACAGAGAGAGGAAGAAGGGGAGATAGAGATAGATAGGAAGGTAGGTAGATAGATAAACAGATGATAGAGAGATACATGAGAGAGAGACAGAGAGAGGAAGAAGGGGAGGGGGAGATAGAGACAGATAGGAAGATAGATAGGTAGATAGATAGATAGATAGACAGACAGACAGACAGACAGAGCAAGATCAGTGGGCTAAAGGTGGAGTAAAAGAATATGTAGACTTTCATGTGTCAGAACAATAATGAAAAACCTGGTAGAACCCAAATAAAATATGAGGTTGTAATAGCATTAGTACAGGTCACTGTTCTTGGAACATTCTAGACTTTCTGATTAGGAATGTCCAATCTGCATTATCAGTTGGGTTCTTGATTTAAACAAACGTGCCTTGATGACATAAGAAGTCTGTACTTTTCGTGATGTTTCTGAAAAAAAATGTATGACTATATGAAACAAACCATATATTAAAAATGCATGGTTCTACCGGGCGGTGGTGGCACACACCTTTAATCCCAGCACTCGGGAGGCAGAGGCAGGTGGATCTCTGTGAGTTCGAAGCTGGGCTGGACCGACAGCCTCCAAAACAATACAGAGAAACCCTGTCTCGTAAAAACAAAAACAAAAACAAAAAAATGCATGGTTCATAGCCAAGTTTAATACATGCTAATAACTGCTCGTTTTGGGAGGAAATACAAGCCCACTAGAAAGAACCAAGGACCGGAATGGCAGCAGCTAATGTGAGATTCCAATATCAGATTTTTATTAAAGTAACATTATGTATCGCCTACTGTATGCCAGCTGCTGTCCTCCACGTTATGCCCCCAAGTGTCTCCTAGGTAACAACCATTCAGAGGTATATTTGATACCAGTCTTTTACAGCTAGCATTCTTAAGATCAGAGAGGTTAAGTGTCATGCTTGGGAATCACACAGCTGGCATGCTGCCAGGTGGGGCAGGACCATAAGTGAGAAAAGCAGTCACCACTTTTAGGGGCCCCTGCTACGTAACACGTAAAGGAGGCATCAGATGGTTCTTGCTGAATGTCTTGTAGCCTTTCCTCCCGGTCAGTGGTATTCTTCCCAAATGAGAGGGCTCTAAGTTGACAGAACTGTCCCGCCACATCCCTGCCAGACAGTATGGTGGTGGTTTGAAGGATAAATTCCCCCCCCCCCATCATCTCTGGGATTTCAGTGCTTGAAATTTGAACATGGGTCTACTGGACCCCTGCACCTTCTCTGCCATTATCCTCTCCACACCAGTGAGAGGGGCCAGCAGAAGCAACCCTGGGAGAGCCTCCTGCTCACTGGCCGAAAGCTCTCCGCTTCCCCAGCTGTCTACACGGCTCCTTTTATTTCACACACAGAAAAGACATCTTCTCCTCACAATTCCTTCTCACTTGGGGATCTGGCCTGAGGCTTTAAACCTCCTCGGGACTTAGGATGACAACCAAGTCCACCCTACAAATTCCAAAGTGCTTTCAGTACCTAGAAAGTAGTCACAGAATCAGTAAGATGTCCAAGCATGACAGTATTAGCCGAGGCTGATGTCTGCTGCACTGGCCAAGCTCTTCCTGTCCGCAACCAAGATGGTCTGAAAAGCATGCTATGCCTTTGACATATTTGAGGGAAAACACAAAGCAATCATCTGTTTGCAACCCTCTTCCATATGTGGCCACAAATGGAACACATTGAGGGGTCATGAGAGATCAGGAGATTTAGTGAACAGGGCACAATACGGCTTTGTGGCCTGCTTGATTTTCTCATGACAATGTAAAATATAGATTGAGATGAACTAAAATCCCTCATATTTCGTTTTATAGCTCAAATTCATAAATTCTCTGCATTCATTAGAAAGTGATGGACTCTCTGCACCCACTTGAAACGATAGCATCCCAAGGGATAGATACAAGAATATTAAAAGAGAGACAGAAAGAGAGAGAGAGAGAGATCCTGATCAAAGAAATATTGCCTCTTTCCTCCTTTCATTGAGCAGATGTGCAATGTGTCCTGCGAAAGAAATAGGAAAATTCCTGAGTGATTTATGGGATGAACCAAGTTTTCATGGAGGTTATTGCATGCCTGATAGCATGGCGGGGTTATTAGTTCCTAGTTGAAAATGACCAGAGAAGGTCTCATTCACTTCATCAATATGACGCTTTTATAGGTTGTCAGGAAAGCGACATCAGGCAGCCACGGCACTCTGTCCTGGAGTTATTTCTCTATTAGATGGTTGCTTGTCTTTATCATCAAGACTCCTGGCTATTTAAGAAAACCCAGAACATGGGAGATATGTCTGTTCCATCTAAGATAGAAAAGCAGACTCATCGCTGAAATTATTTTACTCAAACAGGCATTATGCAACCCCACTTGGTACAGAAAAATGAAAACAGACCCCCTCACACACACACACCACATTCATATGTGTATATATTTTCTAGGCTGAAGCTGACTTTTGCATTTGCTAAGAAAGATACTGAGTATTGTGCGGCGGGTTTTAGACCTCCTGATGCAGTAAAATCAATCAGGGGAATTCTAGTAGACTTACTAATGTCCTTCTATGGAAGATAATTATTATCTTCATTCCATAAAGGAAAACTGTAGCACATATATGAAATTAAAAAAGAACAGAAGTTAGTGTAGATTTATCTATGACCTCAGGGAAGGGAAAACATCACCTCCCAGGAGGGAGGCACACATCCCTCTGCATGCTGAAGAAGCTGCTATCACTCATCAGCTCTGGGAGGCAGGCATTTAGAAGCCACTGAAAAGTCTTAGAAAAATCTTTGAGGGGTGAGCTCATCATTACCAATGGAAGCTTCTTGCTCTAAAATCTTGTAATTTTATAACGCTTTTCTTAGGCTGTTACAGAACTAAGGATAGTAGTAATGAATAGCAGAGCTCTTACTGAATGTTAACTCCTGACTATATAGTATTCCCTTTTTAGTTCCTTGCAGCAACCAGTAATTAAAGTATGATGATTGTTAATGTACATATGGGCACCATCCAGGACTAGGTAATTCACACAAGTCTCAGGCACCCAAATATGTGTATTGAAAGTGACAGTTCTGGGGTCCCACCTCTGATTCCTGAGTCAGGAGTCAATATATTCCCAAATATGTACCCATAGTTCTTTTGTGTGTGTGTTCCAGAGTCTCATGTAGCCCAGGCTGGCCTCAAACTGGCTATGTAATCAAGAATAGCCTTGGACTTCTGTGGTTACAGGTCTGGTCCTTACATCTTTTTTTTTTTTACTATTTATGGGTCCCTTCTATTACCAGTGCTAAGAAAATTGGTCTGCTACAGAAGGATTGGGGGCTGGGGGATAACAATCTAACACAACACCAATGCACAAATTCACATTTCTTATTTTTTAAATAATGCTACCTTAGCACAGAATTATATATCTTACATACTGTATGCTACATATATTATATTGACTGTACATTGAGACCACAGACCATACCATGTATTATATAATGTCCCTTCTCCTGTGTGTAAAAACACACAGCTTAATAATAGATGAAAGCAATCCTAAGGCTCTCTGGAGGGAAGGATTTTTAAAACAAATCTTGTTTTGTTTGACTCGGGAAGGAAAGCGCTAAGGGTTTTGAGAATTGGGGTTCTCTTGTGTGTGGAATTGAAAATCCAAATTCTTCTAAAAAAAAAAGCAAGCTTGCCACTGACATTTAGACAGAGGCCCCTGGCTACCTCTGTGATGCGATTTGCACATATAGTTTAAACTCTGGCTTAGACATTTGTCTCTCATGCATCTCCAAGGCACTGTGAAAACTGGAATTCTGATTTGGATAGTATTACTAGCATCGAGGGCATCATGTTATTTTCCCAGACGTTGGCTAGAAATTGCTCAAGATTGAGATGAGAAAATGATTAAAATCAGACTCTCTTGTCTCTGATTTCAGCACCCTGAAGTACAAGGGGTCCAAGGGGTAGGAGAGGTACGAGGGGTTCAGGGCTGTCCTTCCCAAGGCCTGATTCAGCACAGGTGGAGGTCCTGAGCTGTCCTTCCCAAGACCCAGTTCAGCACAGATGGACAGGCGATGTCCTTGTCGTTTTTCATTTCAGCCTCTTATCCTCCTTCATTTGTCTGCCTCCTTGGACAGATGTTTGCCTGAGCAAATTGACTGCTGAGAAGATCCCCAAGTCACCCATCAGCAGGGCCACAGACAGGACAGTGGTTCCTTTTCAGGCCTTTAGAGGGATCAAAGTGTTGAAAGTCAAGGTTACTGTACAGAAAACACAACACAAAATGCCTTCAGTCTTTGACTCTGTCCTGTGCATAAAGGCTTCGTTACATTTGTCTTATAATATCATCCAGGATTCACCAAACTAAAAGGAACCAATGGAAAAAAAAAGAGAGAAACCCATGCCAGTTATTTTCTGCCAACTGAGAAGAGGCTAACTTTGATGGCCTGGGTTCAGGTTCACCTTGAGAAGCAAATGCAGTGTGTTCTAGCCTCAGAGCTGAGCAGTGGCCAGTTCTCAACTTTGTAGGTGGAAGAGTACAGACTTCAGAATACCTGAAGTTAAATATTTATAGTTCCATAGGACAAATAAGAACAATGAGTAGCGTTTTCATTGATAATACTTGTAGTTATACGGAATTGTTTTCCTAGATAAAGAAAACCTTTCCACAAATATGTATCATTTCCATAGGACTATGGATTAAGGCCAGTTTTCCTACATATCTTTCAAGAACAAAGTATACAGGAGAAAAAAAATCTCTTAGTAGCAAAAGCTGTTTGAATTTTTTAATTTAGCTTCTTTTTTAAAGAAGGGAACTTACATAGCTCAGCCTAGCCCTGAACTCCTCAAGTAGCTAAGAATGACTGAATGAATGTTGGAGTCTCCTGTCTCCACCTTCAAACACTGGAATTACAGGAATGTACTGCTACTGCCATGCCTAACTTATGAGTGAAACAAACAAACACAATCTCCGGCCTCTGCAGTCCTGAGCAACATCATTACCTAGACACACTGGGCACACCTCAAGAGGGGAGTCATTGGACTTTCTGAAATACTCCCGCTTGCCCACGTGGTGATTGGAGAAAAACACCAAGAAGAAGCAGCAACAACACTAAGACTTCTTTCTGGTAGGCCAGGTTCTGGGGTTCCTTTGTTTAGTTATTCCTCTCCCCCTTTTAAGACTTGGTTCAAAATGAGCTTCCCCTCCTCCCTCTCCCTGGGTCACTTTAAGTTTGTTTCTTTGTTGCAAGCACCCCTGTGTTTGCATTTGGGCTTGATAATGAACCTGAAGTTCCTGAGTGCAAGTCCCCAGTGCCTGCTTGATTTTTCAGACTCTGGTCTTATGGGCTTGGATTACTGAGTACCATTTATTATCACTGTCTCAGGACTTATCTGAAAAAGGTCAGTTCAGACCCAGAGAGCCCAGCTGAGATAGACAGAACCTGGGTCCCTCCCTTGATGAAGGAGCTGGTCTCATTTGCTCTCATTTCCAGTTGGAAGACCGATTTGTGTTTCAAAATGAGAAAAGTATTTGTAAGCTCGGTTGAAAAGATGCAAACACATGACTTTTGAGTCAGAAAATAGGCTTTTTACTCTAACTCTGCCAAGGAGGCAGAAAGATGCATATGCAGGGAGTGATGCTCAGACCTGGTCATTTCAGCCTTGAACAAAGTAACAAAACCCTGACCCTCTCAGTGCTAGCTAATTATGTTATCCTACATGATACCACAAACCCAAACAAGACCCTCAAACGATATTCCCTAGCTGGAGGAAAATACAGCTTATTGAGTAAACTATGCATGTTTCAATGTAAGGAACAAGCTTGATTTTGTGAGGCATCACATAAACCTCCAAGCCTTTATCAGTGTTTACCACTGGGAAGAGGGAATATTCTTCTTAGTCACTCTTCATGTTTTGCTGTATTTCTGAAATTCTCTACTACAAACACCTATTTCTTTGATAACTTAAAATCCCAAGCCAATAAATGCCATTTTTCAAAGCTGGTAGATAACGCAAGCGGCTGTGATCCGGTTTCTTTCTGAAGGATGGGCCCCCATGGTCAAGGGCACCACGGCAAACGTGTCTCCTGGCCCTACTGTTCCGGGCAGGACCTGTATATAGTTGTCAAAAGAAAGGCCTGTGACATGCCTTTACAGCTCCCAGCCCTATATTAATGCCACATGTGTTCTTGTAAGGTTGAGTGATTAAGCGACACACAGTAATTGTCTCTACTCCAAAGTAGACATTTATTTTCCTCCACGCATGAGGCTCTATTTCCCCATCATTTATCACAACTTCGTTGCAAGAATCATCTCAGTGGGTTGTGCGTCTCATACCTCTCTTTTTAATGCAAACTGACCTAAACGGCCCCAGTAAGAAATTAAATATAATTACCTATAGACTTGCGCAGGGCAAATGAGATTGCATGGGCTCCCAAAGTGGAGCAAGGTGCTTGGAGGCCTCTGGTCATCCGCCTTCCCCAGAGTTAATTTCTTCCCTCCTGGAGAACGCCTACACACAGCCTCACAATGACCTGTTTAGTTGGCAGTGGAAAATTATGTCATTTGCAAGTAAGCTTTCAGCTGTGATATTTTATAATTGTTAAGATGAAAACCTGATAATCCTCTCCCCCTTCACATAAACTGCAATCCATCTTTAAACCTGTGATAATTCCCCAAACCTGCCGCTTAATAAACGAACAAACCCCAGGCCTATGTGATTTTTATGGGGAGTCAAATCTTTGATCAGCCAAGCTGAAATGGGTCTGATAAAGGGACGGCCCTTCCACTCCGGAGTCACCACTTGGAGTGGGTTATTGCTGTTTCCTCCGGTCCTCGAGTGCCAAATAAGCAGAGGTCTTCCCAAGCCCCTTATCTCCTCCACTTTCTTCTTGAGATCTCTGTCGCTTTAATCCGGCATGTCTGCTGCTGGTTAACAAGGAAATCCTGTGTCAATTATCGCCAACAACTTCCTGCTGAGAAGCAGCGGGGAATCAAAGCATTTGAGAACCTTTTCACACCAGAGAGTGGTGCAGGGCCTAATTAAATGGCCCTCATATCCTGCAGCCTGGTGGAGGCCTTGTGATGGATAGCTAACTGAAAGATAGCCTCATTTGGCTAAGGACCTTTGGAGGCCAGTGGGCTGTCCAGCAGGTTGCAGGTGCACCCGAAGTGGAGCTGCTGCGTGGGACTCCTCCTCCGGTTCCACTGAAAGGAGAGCGGGCCACTGTCACCCCTGGGCAGCCGGATGGACAGGGGCGGGTCTCTGGTTGCAGCTCCCTAGCTTCGGATTACGAGGCAGCGGGTCAAATGGGGTAGGGGCTTGGATGGACTTTAGGGAGATGCCCACTGAGACATTAAGGTCAGGCTTCCATATAAGGGCGTTTCCTCTCCCACCTAGGACTTACCTGGGTGGTGAGGTTGCACACTCCCGTCTTTAAAAATATAGTTCAAAAAAATAATGGGCTGACAAATTGGGAACCTAGATGGGTGGGACCGGCCAAACCAGGCCCTCTGAGTGTGGGTAACAGTCATATGGCTTGATCTGTTGTGTGTGTGGGTTGGGGGCGGCGCTGGCCGTGGCATCAGGACTTCTTATTCCAGGTGCATGATGAACTGGCTTTTGGGAGCCCATTCCTTACGGTGGGATACCTTGCTCAGCTTTGGCACAGCGGGGAATGCCTTGGTCCTGACTCAATAGGTATGCCCGACTTTGTTGAACCCCCAATGAAGGCCTTACACCCTCTGAGGAGTGAATGTGGGGTGAGGGTGGGGGCGTGGGAACGGGAGAGGTGGGGGCGGGAGAAAGGGAGGGAGGGGGAAACTGGGGTTGGTATGTAAAAGGAAAAATAAAGTTTTAGAAAAAATTATGTTTTGTGGGCCGGGGATGTAGTTCAATGAGTAGGGTAGTTGTTTAACACGCATGAGGCCTTAGATTCGATCTCCAGCACTGCATCAACGAGGCATAGTGGCACAGCCTGTCATCCCAGCCCTCTGGAGGTAGACACAGGAGGGTCAGAAGTTCAAAGGCAAGCTCATCTGCAAGTTAGGGGCCAGTCTAGGCTACGTGAGAATCTGTCTTCCTGCCACACACCATCTCCAGATTTGGGAAGCAAGTCAGATTCTGTTGCTCTGCTGTGTAACGAATGGTATTTATGCCTTGCAACGTTTAATAAAAGAAAAGGACAGAAGGAAATAGTAACAACACAATTTCAGAAGAAAAGCCAATGCTTTAAATGGAAGACCAGTTTATGTCTATGAAACTCGTTACGCTGTTTTCTTAGGTGACATGGAGAATTTCCCTGCTATGGTGCTGCCAGCTCATGCCAGGAAATGGCCATGCTGAATGATGTAAGAAAATAGGACCAGGGGAGCTTTGGATACCTCCTACAATACCCCAAGAGGTTTGATTTAATGACATGATTTAGGGTGCAGATATCAGAAGTTTTCAAGTGTTTGAAAACCCACTGCTTGCCTGTGGGTTTCACCCCATCTCTGTGTGTGTGTGTTTACTCAAGTGTGTAGAGACCAGGAGATATTGGCTAATGTTTCTCAGTTAATGTCTACCTTGATTTTTGAGACAGGGTCTCTCCTTGATCTGAAGCTCGCCAAATAGGCCAGGCTGGCTGGCTAACAAGTCCCAGGGATCTACCTGTCTCTACCTCACTAGCATTGTGATTAAAGTCATACACCACCATGCCTGTCTTTTTTTTTTTAACTTAAAAACATGGATTCTGGATATTGAACTCAAGTCTGTCCTCATGCTTGCAAGGCAAGCAGCAACTAAGCTACATCCTGAATCCCAAACCACTGTGTTGGTGCTCAGAGACTGTACTCCAGAGCATCTCCAATGCTCACATGCACATTTTCTTGGAGATATTTGCAAATACAGATTCTTATTCCACATGTCAGTGATGGGATCTGATATTTTTCCTAGTGATGCTGTTGGTGTTGGTCCACAGACAACTCTTAAGAAACCAAGGCCAAAAGAATGTTTCCACTACAAGATCTCTAGGCACTTGGCTGAAGTTCAGGGATTTTCCTAGACTCTGCAAAGGGTTGCCAGCATGATTTCATGGATTTTCAAGATCAGGCTGGGGATATGACTGATGGAACTCTTTTATTTTTAATAATTTATTTAATTATTTCATGTGTATTGGTGTGAAGATGTCAGATCCCTGGAACTGAAGTTACAGACAGTTGTGAGCTGTCATGTGGGTGCTGGGAATTGAACCCGGGTCCTCTGGAAGAGCAGCCAATGTTCTTAACCGATGAGCCATCTCTTGGTTCTTAATGTAGAGTTAGCAACTGATACATCCTGCAGCTTGCTTTGATTTATGTCCTATAGTTACCTTGGTCATTCTGAGGTAGACCAGAAAGCTTAAATTTGGCATATCCAGGCAATGATGGAGGATACAATCATAGATTAAAAACAAGAAAATGACGTGACCAGATTACAATTGCCTTTTATAATTGTTGTGACTTTTCCTTGCTTTGCCTATCAGCCAGACCTGAAGACAATACTATGGAGACAAGGACACAAGCAAGATGTAAAGCCCACCCTATGAGATGTAGGTGGCAGAACTATAAAGAGACCTACTTTCAGCTTAGGAAACATTTCCTCAATGTAGAAGAGGGGAGGCTTATAAGACTCCGGAAGCTAAGGAAACCCACAAGGGTGTGTCTACAGGTCATGTAAGCAGCAAACCATTGCTGAGGAGAAGGAGACTTTTCAGTGGATCTGCTTGCAAATTGATGGAGGAGTTTCAGGGAGACAGCTCCATGAGTCATCACCCATGCTGCATGTGGTGGGCTCTATGGTGATGTCATAACCGGCATGGACTGGAGTCTCTGTCGAATCTATTTATTCTAGGGAGCATTTCCCTTAGCCTTTCCATTTTACCTTAAGTTCCATGCCTTGTTTCTGTTGTCTGTGTTCTCACTGAATCTGCGATCTAGGACAAACTACTGAGCTTTCTGTACGTGTCAGAGTCCTAATCTATAATTGGGTCGAGAGTAACTGCTTAATTCAGTTACTTAAGGAAGGTAAGATGTATTGCTTAAGGAAGGTAAGATGAGGCTTAGCAGGGAGGCTGGCATGGAACCATCACCCTGAATCTTATCCTGCAGATGAATATTCATCATATCGGAAACTATTTAAAAAAAAACAACATGTGCATTCGAGTTCAAAGAGATCTCAGAGGTGACTGGTCCACTTCACTTTGTAAAGAAACTGATGTTCCCTGAAAGGCGTGCAGTTGCCCAGATGACAGTCTTAGCCTGTTAAAAGCCAAAAGGTTGTCCCATCTCAGACAGTTCTGTATGTTCACACATATGACATTCCTTCAACCCCATGTTGCCTTTCTCTTATACAGCACCCTCGGGGATAGAAAGCCCTGGTCTTTGGTGTTCTTCACCACTTGTGGGCTCCTGGAAGATACTACTGACCCACTGAGTCCACCGTCTCTCCAGGTCCTCACACACTCTCAGTGTACAGGTTCCAAGAAGTCACTACCAGGTGCTCGTTTGTCAGTCCTGGGAACACAGCACAGACAGATATGAACTTCCAGATGACACCCAATTGGCTCACTCAGACATTAGGCAGGGTTTCCTTTACAGAACAGCAATTGGTTCACTCTGACATTAGGCAGGGTTTCCTTTACAGAACAGCAGAGAAATTGAGCCTATGACAGCTCAGTGGCTGAAACTTTCTCCAACACACATGTCTGGGGACCCACGAATTTGTAACAACAGAGTGCACATTTGACATTTTGCTCAAATCCTTCATTAGGTTTTTAAACAGCTGGGACAGTTTTTAATGAGCAATAATTATAACTTTGGATTTCTGATTATATGAAAGCAGGGGGGGAGGCAACTCATACTCAATAGTGATTTTTATGTACTCTAACCTTGACAGGACTGTTAGCACCATATAGCCTTGTCTAGAACATTTCCCTAATAGTCTAACACACCATTTCCTCAGAGGTAGAACCCAGAGAAACTTCAACATTGGAAGCAAATTGCAGTTCCAAGCCAAAGATGACTTTAGAAGAATGCTTTCTTTCACTGATGCCAAAAGGGCAAGTAATTGGATGTCTGAACAGCTGCAGTAGCTGCGCTTGGGATTTGAAATGTTTTGGGAATCTTTGGAGATGCCCATAGACAATGACAGAGTTAAAAAAAAAACAAAACTAACAAATCAATGTAACTGACAGTAAACTGAAGAAGGCACAGGAGAAGTCCACCGGAGGGAGTTGTGGAGTATACCAAGCCAGAACATAAGCACAGGGACATCTAGGAAAAATCTGAATTTCCCGCTTACCAAGAACTCCATCAGCCACCATAGGGCAGAGGTCATTCAAGGAACAGTCTCCCACCTCATCAAACCCTTTCATTGCTATTACTGAGAATATTGAATTAATTTCTGAGCAAACAACGGCTTTGTCTCTCGTTTAACACCCTCTGCCCTCCTAATAGCTGACGTCATTAATTTCATTCCCATCTCCGAATCTATCCAACACTGTCTGTCT